AGCCACCCAGGTGCCCTATTTTCTTTCTTTCTTTTTTTTTTTCAAGATTTTATTTATTAATTTAAGAGAGAGAGACAGAGAGCACAAGCAGGGGAAGAGGCAGAGCGAGAAGCAGACTCTCCGCTGAGCTGGGAGCCCAATGTGGGGCTCGATGCCAGAACCTGGAGATCATACCTGAGCCAAAGGCAGACACTTAACCATCTAAGCCAACCAGGTGACGACCCTGCTACTGTTATTTTCTGAGCATCTAAGTATGGGAACCCGTTGTTGCCAGCCAGAAACTTAAAGGTGGACAACGAGGGCTTTTAGAGCTGGAAGGAAATTCCGATTCCGAGTGTCTCAGGCCACACTGGCCAGATGCGCTTGGGGGACACAGGCAGCACAGAGCTGACTGAGATGCTTTGGATAAAATCTAAGAAATAAATTAGAGGTTACAACATCAGTGACAATAATAGACTATGGCAAAGGCTCTTGTTCCAGCTCGCTACACCTTACTGATCAGAGAATTAAGGTCCATCAAATGTCAACTTTGCAAGTTTTTTTCATAGGCTACTTTTATTTTATTTTAATTTTTTAAAAGATTTATTCATGGGAGGGGAGAGCACGGGCACACGGAGGGGTGGAGGGAGACAGAGAGAGAATCTCAAGCAGGCTCTATATGCCCAGCTCGGACCCCGACATGGAGCTCCATCTCAGGACCCTGAGATCAGTTGGACGCTTAACCGACTGAGCTGCTTGGGTGCCCCATATTTTATTTTATTTATTTTATAATTTTTTAAAGTAGGCTCCAGGCCCAAAGTGGGGCTTGAACTCACGGACCCTGAGATCAAGAGCCGCATGTTCTACCAGCTGAGCCAGCCAGGTGCTACATTTAAATTGGAAATGTTAGCTGTTTGCCCAGTATATTCTATCTGCCTCCTAAGTTTTCCAGTTTTAGAAGCATATTCAAATGATAAGGCAGAGTCCCTGAATAGAAGGGTGACCAATCATCCCAGTTTCCCTGGGACTGTCCTGGTTTGAACATTGGAAGTCTTGTTTCCCCAGACTGGAGGGTTGGTCACCCTACCTAGTAAGGGCATTTTAACCCCTTGATTAGTTTTCTGGGCTAATATTTACCTCAGCTTAACAACTCTTTCGTCACAGACAATTCTTTAGTGTCTGATTGATCTTAGGCGGAGTTTTGGCTTTGCTCTTTGTTGGGAGGTATCAGGCAAGTTTCTAAATTTTCCCGAGCCTCAGTTTCCTTCATTATAAAATAAAGAAGGGTGACAACAGTACCCCTTCCTTTGGGTTGGTATCAGTGAGATTATGCAGACAGGAGGCTTAGTACATAATTTAAACACTCAGTAAATGTTAACTATTAATCTATTATTGTTGTTAGTTACCTAACACAAGATCAAAGGGATGGTATTTATTTATTTATTTTAAAGATTTTATTTATGTATTTGAGAGAGAGAGAGAGCGAGAGCGAACATGTGCTTATGTGCTTGCACATGAGTGGAGGAGGAGGAGCAGAAGGAGAGGGAGAAGCAGGCTCCCGGCTGAGCAGGGAACCCTGAGGACGTGGGGCTACATCCCAGGACCCTGAGATCATGACCTGAGCCCTAAGGGATGGTATTTAAAACACATTTTCCCCTGGGGCGCCTGGGTGGCTCAGTCAGTTACGAATCTGCCATCAGTTCAGGTCATGATCTCAGGGTCCTGGGATCCAGTTTGGGCTCCCTGCTCAGTGGGGAGTCTGCTTCTCTCTCTGCCCCTCCTTCCTGTTTGTGCTCTCTCTCTCTCAATCTCAAATAAATGGAATCTTTTAAAAAACAAAACACATCTTCCTCTCACCCAGTATTTTAGAGGCACCCTTATATATGAACAAGTTGCATGTCCATAGGGACTTCTACAAAGCTAGGAATAAATGCACGTGGTTCAAACAACAGAGATCACACTTAAATATTAATAAGGATTTTCCAAGACTAGTTTAAAGTTGTAAAATCTTTACAGAGGACCACACCAATAATTAAGCAGTCATCTGGTTAAAAAAAAAAAACAACAACAACAGTGACTGAGTACCGGCTGTCTAACAAGTAGCTGAGGGAGAACCAAGTGAGTGTAAAACACAGTCCTGCCCTCAGATTGCTTACACTCTTGTGTTCCAAGGATTCCAAGAACTAAGCCAGGAGCCAGAGACAGGTCAAAGTAGACAAACCAGATAGAAATGAAGAATGTGCCCCACCCTGCCCTTCCTCCCTGGAATACAGGAGCCCTGGCCGCAGGTGAGTGGGCTGCAGGAGGAGAGGCGGGTGAGTCGCTTTTCTAGAAGAGACAGCCTTCAAAGTCGGCAAATTAAAGGAAAAGTATACCCAGGCGGGAATTTGAAATCTCAAATCATTAAATGGAACCGAAGTAAAAGGGATGGCTGAGTTTTGAAGACAGATGCCCACCCAGGGAATAAATGAAGTAAGAGAGAGGAAATTTTCACTTTGGAGAAGGCTGTCCAGCTCAGAGACCAGAGAAGTCCCATGACCAGCAATAATGGTCTCCTACTTTGCTAAGGAGGATGTCATTCTAGGCAAAACCTAAACCACATTCAGAATGTCTAATCTCTAAGGTCCCAGAAAGGTCAAGGAAACTGAGACAATGCTTCATCCTTCTAGAACTCTACGGCTGTTACCACAGGACTCGGTCATTCCCCTGCCTCATGGAAGCCTGAGGGCTTACTGGCTTGCTGCTCAACTGTTTGGGACACCGAATTGCTCTGATTCCCAGAGGCACAGGACTCAGGTACACATTTTCAACCATTCGCCCTGCTCCCTTGACCAATGCCCTCAGCGCCCCCACCCCCAACCCATAGTATTTCCAGGCTTTGCCAAGAAACAAGTGTCAACAGGCAGGTGTCCATGGGAGTAGGTGTCGAAGGAGGTTTTTCCATTCAAGAAACCCAGACAACCAGAAAGCATCTCTAGGTGTGGCACAAACCAACACTGATCTTGGGCTCTTAGCCTCATACCTCACTCACCTAGGTCCTACCCTCCTAGGTCCTGAACCTAGAAACCAGAGCCGAGGAAGTGTCCCCTCTTACACTTTAGCAAGGCCATTTAGGGCAGTTTCTCTCCCCCCAGAAAGAGTACAAATGCTGCAGACGCTCTTTCCTGGTGTTTCTGCTACTCCTCCCCCACCACCACTCTCCTGTGGTGTGGAGCAGGATTATTAGGAGCCTGTTCGGGCTTTAGCTGGGCAGGGGCTGCGGGTGTCTGTGGTGTGAATACACTTGTAGTAATCTTTCACCAGAAACGAAGATTCCCTAGAAACCTGGTCCAGTATGTGGCCTGGTTTCTTTGAGACAATTGCTGCCTCATGTGAAACAATAAATGAGAAAGGGCTTTGATGGCCTGTAAAATGCCTGAGAAATACAACTTGTTATGATAGTGCCAAAGAAGTCGGCAGCCCTGCTTGCGGGGCTGCGGAGGCAAACCTGGTCTTAGTACCAAGTGAGGGCAGTTCTTGCCAATGGGATCACTTTGAAAATTTCCCACGTGGGCTTCACAAAGCCACCCAATGATTCAATAGTCTGTGGATTCTAAAAATTTCCTATTACTTTGGCTCAACACACCACCTGCCCCCCCCCACACACCTGGAATCTCAGAACTAGGAGTCTGTTTGTTTGTTTGTTTGTTTCTTTTTAAAGATTTTATCTATTCATTTGACAGACAGAGATCACAAGTAGGCAGAGAGGCAGGCAGAGAGAGAGGAAGGGAAGCAGGCTCCCTGCTGAGCAAAGAGCCCACGGGGCTGGATCCCAGGACCCTGAGATCATGACCTGAGCAGAAGGCAGAGGCTTTAACCCACTGAGCCACCCAGGGGCCCCTCAGAACTAGGAGTCTTAAGAGACCGGAAAGATCAGGGAACTTAGGTTCACATGCGGAGGTAGAGCCATAACTTGTACCACAACCCTGGTCTCCCACAGCGGGGTTCTCCTTCTCTTACATAACCTTTGTTGCTGAGAGAGAATAAGATCCACCCCTATACATGTGTGCTTACACACACACACACACACACACACAAGCACAGACGCGCACGCGCGCACCCAGTGTCCTGTCCCGATGGTTCTAAGACACCAAACCCAGGACTGGGTTTCCTGCCTCCCCTGCCTCAAAACTGCCTCAGTAGGCTCTGCTACCAAGACTGGCTCTTACCAGAATGTCTCAGACTGGAGGACAGCCGCCACCTTGGGTCTTCCCATTGTGTTTTCCCCCTCTCCCTCCCTTCCTTGCCCTTCAGCAGGATTTCTAGAAAGTCTGACCTGCACTCCAACACAGGCCTGCAGAGACAGGGGTTCATCCACCCATCCATCCCAGGATGCTCTCTCAGGGGCTGCTTTTAGCCACCACTGGAAATTGAAGGCCGTGATCCATGGAGTCTCAAAAAATACCATCCAGAGTCTCAAAAAATTCTCACACATGTCTAATTTTTCTTATTCTTCACCCTCCCCCCATGCCAGCAGCAGCTTAATTTGTCCTGACATTTTGCTTGCCCTCGCTGTCAGTCAGGGCCACTCGGTAATTTAAAAGCTCTTGCAATTGCAACCCGAGTTTGCATATTTAGAAATGGGCTTCTGAGAAAGGTGGAACTCGGATCCCAGGAGCATCCCGTGGCAGAATCTCTGAAACGGCAGCGGAAACGTGCGCATTTCAGGAGGGGGTGCCGCCGGCTACCCCTAAACCGATCTAGGGCTCTGCCCACCTCCTGGACTCCAGCATTTCCCTAGGCAAGTCTCAAATTCCCTTCAAAATAAGGCTCCCACCTGCCGGGCCTCCCCTCTGCCCTGCCGGCCTCCGAGGAGCATAAGGGTCCGAGTCAGGTCTCCGCCACCGGGAGTCCCGCCTCCCCAGTGCTCCCTCCACCCCACCGCGTGAACAACTCGGTCACCCCTTTCGTCAGAGGTGAGGGTCCGGTAAAGGCCGGCGCCAGCCTGGACCGCGTGCCCACCCGTCTGCCCAGGCACCCACCTGTGGAAGAAGAGCAGGATGGAGAGCATGGTCTGGTCGATGTTGCGGTTGCAGATGCCCTCGTTGATCAGGTAGCAGGGGTCCCGCAGCACGGGCTCTAGCGAATCCTGCCGCATTATGCTGTTGAGCTTGTCGGTGTTGAGGTTCTCGAAGATTAGCTTCTCCTGCAGCTGCCGAAAGTTGCTCACGGTAGGGCTGCCCGGATTGTTGTTTTCTCCGCTGCTGTCGCGCTGGAGCCCGCTCCGGTGGGCCAGGTCCAGGCAGCAGTTGCAGCAGTCGAGACCGACAGGTGAGCGGCAGTCGGTCTTGGGCTGGGCCATCTTCTCAGGCTTGGGGGCCGCTTGGCCCTCGAGGTCAGGGTCGGCTGGCAGGTGCGCGCCCGCCGGGCTAGCCTGAGGAGACTCCAGGGTGTCTGGAAAACACAAGCTGCGAGAGGAGTTGGAAATTAGCGCCTAAAGCCAGCCACCCCCGGCTCGGCCCCCTCCTGGCTGTGCTGCCCTGGGTGCGAATAGAAACAGCTGGACAAACAGCTCTGAGCGGATCCTTCGGGCTCACTTCCTCCTCTTCCTCCTCCCCCTCCTCTAGAGGCTGGGGCTGCCCGCCCCCCCCTCCCCAGGTGCCACACGCGGCTCTAGCGCAGTCCTAAGTTTCCCAAGTGTGAGCGGGGCTCGGCGGACCTGTGGCAGCAGGAAGGGCGGGCAGCAGGGCAGAGGGAGAGCCAGGGCGCGCCCTCGTTCCCTCCCTCCTTTGCTCCCTCCCTCCCCGGCTCGCTGGCTCTCCCGCTCTCGGGCTCCCCTGGGCTGTGCACAGGCTGAGCGGTGGCAGGAGCGGAGAGCGAGTGAGCGAGCTGCACGCCCAGGAGTCAGCATGGGGCTGTGACAGCATGTAAATTACCCCAGGGGGGCCGGCGGTGAGCGCTCCTCGCCGCTTCCCTGGCGGCCGCCTGGGTCCTGCCCCCCAAGCTCCCGCCCCTCTCCCCCCCCCTCCGCCGCCCGCACCCTCGTGCCCTCGCACCCACACGGCCGCTCGCACCCTGGCCCGCGCTCCCGGGAACCCCGCCCGGCTCTTCCCCAGTCCGCGCGCCTGGCGCCGCAGCAGCTCGGGCTCTCTGGCCGCTCAGGGCGCATCCACCGTCAGAAATCTACTCGCGGTCGGCCGCGGACGCCGCGCCAACCCGGTCTCGAGCTCCGCGGGAGGGCAGATGTTCGGCGTCCCGCCGAGGACGGGTCCCCCTGCAGGAGAGACGCCGCCCGCGCGAGCCCCTCTCGTCGCTGCCTTAACCCTCCGCCCCGCCACCAGCCTATTTGGGGGGTCTGCAGAAGGAGAACGGCTGCCCCCTCGGGGAGTCTGAGAGCGCCCGGCACGCTCTCGCGGTGCCCAAGGGAATGCCTTAAACGAAACTCACGGAAGCACGCTCAAACTCGCCTCGGTTTCTGACCCCTTCTTCTAACCGATCTTCCCCTCTTTCCCCCACGCGCGCTCTCCTCTCTTCCCTGAACCCCATCTGAGGCCATCTGTGCCCGGGCTTCTGGGAATGCCAGCTCCCCGGGTGGCTTCCCGCTGCCTTGCCCCTTCTCCCTCCTTGGGCTCGCGTCTCCGTTTGCCCTTCCGTCTCTCGGCACTTCTTCTCCACTCTTTCCCCTTTCTTTCATTTTCTTTCTTCCCCGTATTTCTTTCTTTACCCGTTTCCGCTCCTCTTCCTTTTCTTTCTTGCCCCCCCCTTCCTTCTTTTTCTTTTTTTCCTCCTCAGCATTTCCTCAGTTCTCCCCTCTTCTCCCCTATTCCCCATCTTCCCCCATTCCCCGTCTTCCCCATTACCGTCTTCTTCCCCATTCCCCGGCTTCTCCCCCATTCCCCGTCTTCTTCCCCATTCCCCATCCCCCCTCCCCATTCTCCGTCTTCTCCGTCTTTTTCTTTCTGTCCCCTTCATTTCCCCCATTCGATTTTCCCCCGCGTGTCCCTCGCCTCAGCAACCCACGCTTTCTCCTCGGGTCTGTCCCTTTCTCCTCACTTCACTTATCTTCCCCTACTTTTCCAAGCTTGCTACCCCGCCTTTTCTGAGCCCCGTCTGCCACCTTAGTTGGGTCTCTGTCCTCACCCTTTCGAGAGCTGTGGTGAGGAAATGCTCATGGGCACGGGGGTGGCGTGAAACTGCGAGCCGAGGAGTTCTTGGCTCCGAGGAGAGGGTGCTTCTGGGGCTGAGGATAGGTGAAAGGTCAAATCCGTGGAGAGCGAGGCAGGCTGATTGCTTGGGTCACATACCCCTTGGGCTTTTCGAGATGTGGGGAAGGGCTGGGTGGGCAAGTACAGGCTTTCAGGGTGGCTCAGGGCTTGGGGAATTGGACTGCTCCGAAATGTGGAGGATTCAATAATTATTGGCTCCTGAAAAAAAATTCCAGATATTCATGATGTTCAGTCTGCACATAAAACTCAAATGGATTTCAGTTTCAGTCAGCGCTCCCCACCCCCCGCCGGCTCGCTTTTTTCCACCCGAAGCTCGTGGCCCTCGCAATGGGGTAGCGTATACTGCCATCTTGTGTTTCAGACCAGGAACATTCCCTGCCTTGGTCACAGAGTTCAAACTCCCGGGAGACCACAGAGGTGCCGCCTAGTGGAATCCTCACTGCATTGGTTCCGAGAGCGGGAGGAAAACGGAGACAGATTTTACGTGAAAATGGGCCCCCATGACCAACCTGAACACCCGGACACCGGTCAGGGCCAGGGCCCCCCTCTTTCTGGTGGAACTTCATTTGCCCGAGTCCCTGCAGATTGGGCTTTCCCTACATTTGAAATTCCCTCTGGGCGCAACAAGGAGCAGCCCTGTGACTAGGAGCAAAGGGCAGCCAAAGAACTCCCCGTTCCCAGGGCCCTGTGGGTCTTGTATGGGGGCCCCACAACTTGCGGAAATGGTGGGAGGGAGGGAGGGAGGGCAGTGCTCTCTCTGCCTTAGGGGCCAGAAAACCAGAAACAAGCTGTATCCCTAGCTCCGAACAAGATCCCGGGATCAGAGATGAAAGTGGCTTTTGGAGGTCACTGACCAGACCCGCAGAACTGAGAGCATGGTCCCTATGCTCTCACAGCCTGCTGAGGATTCAGTTTGGTCTCCCAAAAGCCAGTCCTTTCATAATATGAGAGTGATTATGAGACCAAAGCCAATCCTTTAGATGCGTTAATTCCCCCCCCTTTTCTTCTTCTTCCCTGTCTGTTTTTTTTTTTAATGTTCTTGGGTAAAAGCCAGAGGAGGTAGTAGAATATGAAATTTCACAGGCATTGTGCAGACTTATAGCCTACTGAATTGTTTTTTAATTACAGTGTTTATGATTTTCCCTCTTGTTTATAATTATTTTATGTTAAACATTATAACAAAATATATTAGCTCCATAAATGTTTGCTTAAGTTGTGTTTTGAGAACTGCTGGGGCCTTTTGCTTCTCTGCTTGCCTGAGTCCTCTTATCTTTGTGCATAACCTTGGGACGAGGTCCTGGTGGAAGTATTTCCTTCTTGGCATTTGGCACCATTAAACTCAAGATTTTGTCCCCTTGACATTTCCCTTGTTGTAGTCCTTGCTCTCGAGCGGTGTTGTTGATAATTCAGTGCAGCTTTGCATACTATATCCAGGCTGATCAAGAGCAAATATAACTTAGATATAGAAAAATCTAGATAGTTCAGAGAGAGGGTCAGAAAGCTACCGTGTATTTGCATGCAAGTCCAGCTTGTAGTGACACATAGTATACCTCCAGAGGAAGGCTGACTGGGCAGCCCTCCTATTGGCTCCTGTCTGTGACACCTCCCTTTGCTCACATACACTGTGTTCGGTGGAGATATTCAGAGCAGCAAAATGCTCTTGTATGAACCCAGCAACCAGAGGTGGGAGGGGGCACTTCTACAGGGAGCTGGTGGTGGATTTCTGGGTGGAGCAGAAAGGGAAGACAAGGGGCATCTCTTTCTCAGATGGGGTCATCTAAGGGTCACTTGCTATGCACTTTACCCATGCCAGGTACAGTGTTAGTGGAGATTCCGAGGTAAATAAGACATAGCCCAGGCCCTCAAAGAACTCATGGCCTTGCTGGCAAAACAGATACATCAACAGACAAACAGTACAAATGGGCCATAATGATGGATGCCTGGTGTGTGGTGGAAACAAGTGCCATGGGAGCCTGGAGAAGGTGTCAGTTCTGGAAGGAGGGAGGGACAATCCAGGTGGAGAGAGCAGAGAACAGAGGCAGGGGTGGGGGGCCCGTGAGGGCATCGGGTATGCTGGGGGGCAGTGCAGAGTCATTACAAAGCAAGTTGGTGTCCTAGGAGAACACGATGAGAGATGGAATAGTGAGAAGCAAGGCTGGAAAAAGAGGAGGGACCAGGTCTTCGAGGGGCTTGTGGGAAACGTGTGGGGGATCCTCTCACTTTACCAGTTTGTCCATGCATTTCACAACTCTTAAAAAAAAGGATAGGGGGCACCTGGGCAGCTCAGTCAGTTAAGGGTTAAGTGTCTGATTCTTGGTTTCAGCTCAGGTCATGATCTTAGGGTCATGAGAAGGAGCCCCTCCTGCTCTCCTGGGGCGGGTTCCATGCTCAGCAGAGTCTGCTGGAGATTGATTCCCTCTCCTTACCCGCTCTGCTCCTCCTCTCCCTCTGCTGCTTCTCCTCCTCTGCTCCTCCCCTGCTTGCCCTCTCTCTCTCTCTCTCTCAGATAAATTAATAAAATCTTTTTAAAAAAGGATACATAATCATTTATTGAGCCCCTGCTATGTGCCAGGCACTTTATTTTTTTATTTTTTAAAGCTTTTTCTATTTTTTTTAAAGATTGTTTATTTATCAGAGAGAGAGTGTGTGCACAAGTAGGGGGAGCAGCAGGCAGAGGGAGAAGCAGGCTCACTGCTGAGCAAGGAGTCTGCCCCACATGGGGCTCCTTCTCATGATCCCAAGATCATAACCTGAGCCGAAGGCAGAAGCTCAATGCACTGAATCACCCAGGCGTCCCAGGCTAGACATTTTACATATAATATCTCATTTAAACCTCAAGACAACCCTGTGAAGCAGGTACTAAATTCCAGTGATGAAATGGGCTTGGGGAAGTTAAAAAAGCTTTCAGGTCACATACGTCATAAGCTAGGCATTTGAATTTGAACCCGGCCACAGCTTTCTGACTTGGAAGCTTGTGCCTTTAATAATTAGGTGACTTTGTGGGGTGCCTGGGTGGCTCAGTGGGTTAAGCCTCTGCCTTTGACTCAGGTCACAGGTCACGATCTCAGCGTCCTGGGATTGAGCCACACATGGGCTCCCTGCTCGGTGGGGAGCCTGCTTCCCCCTCTCTCTCTGCCTGCTGCTCTGCTTACTTGTGATCTCTCTCTGTGTGTCAAATAAATAAATAAAATCTTTAATAACAAAATTAAAAAAATAATTAGGTGTCTTTGTAATGATGGGTTTATCAAACATTTACAAAATATAACAGTTGTTTTTAAGAAGATTGGACCAAAAAAAACGAATTAGATACTACCATCATTCTCATGTAAGAGACAGGGAAACTGAGGCACAGAGAGATTATCCAGCATATCTAGGCATTTGCAGTCTAGCTAGGTTCAAGTGAAGGCACACAAACAGTGATTTTCAGGCAATCCTGTTTCCCTACCCTCAAAATTATTTTGTTCACCTTTCTTTGCTGGAGAAAGCAGATTATCCTTCCTGAAACTGTTCACAATTGTTCATTACAGATTTGTAGATTGTTGTAGCCAGCATGGGTTTTAAAACCTGAATCAGGGGTTCTTAAATGTATTTGTGCCAAGGAACCCTTTGATAGTAC